CCCCCGACGCACACACACGCACAGCCATGATGGCCAAAGACCCTACCGATAGACAAAGGGAGGGAGCAAGCCAACTATCTCAGTTAGTTGGCACCAGGAATGCCACAGGCAGTCAGTGGGGATTGCATCCACGACCTCCTGAATGCCACTTGCATGCCTAACGAACGGAGCTAGGCCGCAGGTGCGGCCAGCCATTTTGTTCTGGCTTGCGAAAATGGCTGGCGGCCCCAGCCATTTTGGCCGGGTTGCCCCGAGCCTCTCAAAATTTCCGGAAAAGGCTCTCAATCGTGATTCTGAATTTCTGAAGATAACCAAAAAAAAAGTTGTGAAGATGGCTGGGACCATGTACTGGTGGTTTACCAACTGAGCTACCGATAGGTAGGCCGTTTGTTCTCTGAAGATGGCTGGGCCCATGTACTGGTCGTTTACCAACTGAGCTACCGGTAGGTAGGCCCGTTGGTTCATGACCGGCTCGCCGGGGAACTTACGCATCGATTAGGTGAGGGCCGGCAGCACCCAGGTAACGGCAGTACAGTTAGCTGCCGGTAGGGGTGCTACAGGGCGTCGCCAGACCCCTGTGGAAACGAAAAAAAAACGACTGCATCTTGACGCCGACAGTGGCAAAATGCATCAATTACTATAAATAGCAAAGGATGCATCTTACGTATTTGCTGCGGAAGATGCATTCGTTCTTTTCTCGTTGAGACAGTGGTGTGACGAGGCCCATAGGCGCAACCTGGAAGCTACCGGTAGCCGAGGCGGCCTGGCCTACTCTGAATAACGGCACCTACCGTTTTCACTCGAGCACAACACACCCCGATATTGAACGTATACAAGCCACCTTTCCGGTCTGGTGCAGCCAAAATGAGGGTGCGTTGTGCTAACGACTCTAACGAGACCGTTTCGGTCATATGAAAGCTCTGCGATTTCGACCGGCGCAGAGCGGGTGCGAGACAGCGACCGGTAGCTGCTGCAAATGGTTGCGGTCCTGCCACCAGGTGCTGATCTGGATGGCTCTTAAGTAGAGACAGACCGTTAGATCTCCACGGCCACCAACCATCGAAAGCTCTCTCTCTCTCTCTCTCTCTCTCTCTCTCTCTCTCTCTCTCTCTCTCTCTCTCTTCTAAGCTGCTGCAAATGCTTACGGTCCTTCCACGTAGGCACTGATCTGGATGGCTCTTAAGTAGAGACAGACCGTTATATCTCCACGACCGCCAGCCATCGAAAGGTCTCTCTCTCTCTCTCTCTCTTTTGTTTTTGTTTTTGCTTTGAAGGTCTCTCGATAGTAGTCTGTGCAGAAGAGGACTTCCTTTGGGCTCTTGGTCGGTCTTACTCTGTACGTGGTAAGGGGGTCGTATGTACCCAGTAAGGACGTGCACTGTTCATATTCACCCTGCGATTGGCCCGCCCCTCTAAGTACGTGCTATGTGTGTGCGATGCAATTGGCCCCCACCGACTGAGTACGTGCTATGTCTGTGGGTAAGTAAGTTAGCATGAGCACAGGTCCAAAATACTAAGGGAGCACTCACACTACTGGTAGAAACTTTTGGGAATGAATCTGGGCGTCATTCCGGTCATAAACGTCAAGGAAATTCCTATTGTGGTTAAGCTCTAAATCTCACGGAGAATGGACAGAAGTTGTTTCAGTTCCTTCTCAGCTGCAATGCTAAGTGACACACGCTCAGCTGCTAGAGCAGGACTTGAACCTCCGACAATGTGTGACAGGCTTGGCCGCTCAGTCGCAATGCCACCCTACGTGACAGACTTGGCCGCTCAGCTGGTATCGCACGATTTGAACCTGCGACCGTGCGACAAACTTGGCCGCTCAATCGCAATGCTAAGTGACCGGCTTGGCCGCTCAGCTGCTCAGCTGCACAGCTGCAATGCTCTAAGTGACACACTTGGCCGCTCAGCCGCTATAGCAGGATTTGAACCTGCTACCGTGTGACAGACTTGGCCGCTCAATCGCAATGCTAAGTGACAGACCTGGGCGCTCAGTCGCAATGCTCTAAGTGACAACGCTTGGCCGCTCAGCTGCAATGCTAAGTGACAGACTTGGCCGCTCAGCTGCTATTGCTAAGTGACAGAATTGGGCGCTCAGCTGCTATAGCAGCTGTAGCAGGATTTGAACTTGCGACCGTGCTAAGTGACAGACTTGGCCGCTCAGTTGCTATTGCTAAGTGACAGAATTGGGCGCTCAGCTGCTATAGCAGCTATAGCAGGATTTGAACCTGCGACGATGCTAAGTGACAGACTTGGCCGCTCAGTTGCAATGCTAAGGGGGAGACTTCGTAGTGACGAGCTCGGACGCTACGTAGTAGAATGAAGGGCAAGAAGGGTGCACGTGTTGGACAGAGAATGGGAGGAAGGAGATGGTGGTTGTAGGGTGAACGAGCTCCGACCATGGCGCCATAGCCTGGGTGATTGGCACCATAGCCACTGTCGGTTGTAGAAGATTTCCCCCCACTGCGTCGTACGACTTGGAGCGGAAGGAAGACTGTCGAGTCCGCACACCACTTCTCATATCCATATCTGTTCTGTCATCACCCCATGACAAGCGTAAAGCTCTTACTCTGGAGTCTGGACCGCTGGATATGGCGGTGAGATGTGGTAGCAGCGACATGAGGAGGAGGTATGAGGTCTAACTGACTGCGCTCCAAAGGTTGTGGGCAACGTAGGCGTACTGAATCGTGAGGTATGCTCTTTGAAAGTATGTTAGAGAGAGAGAGAGAGAGAGAGAGAGAGAGAGAGAGAGAGAGAGAGAGAGAGAGAGAGAGAGAGAGAGAGAGAGAGAGAGAGAGGGTATTTGGCCATAATGGCTTGTTACTATTCTGTTACTCTTATTCTTCTTTTCTTCTTCTTTTCTTCTTCTTTTCTTCTTTTTTCTTCTTCTTTTCTTCTTCTCCTTCTTCTCTTCCTCCTTCTGCTTGCCCTCCTCCTCCTCTTCGTTCTCCTCCTCCTCCTCCACCTTACCCTCCTTTTGCTCCTGCTCGTGCTCTCCTCTTGTTCCTTCTTCTCCTCCTCCTCCTCCTCCTTCCGTCATTACTGCAGCCGTGCTCCCGGCGCTACGGTTGCTTCATATGCGTTCGCGCGGAGGGAGGGGCTGTTGGGGCCGAGAGAGAGGCAAGGAGAGACGTTAACCCCTGGATTCTGCTGCCGAGATACCGGTAGAAACGCGGAGGGGGAATGTGCGGGTCTGTGCAGTTCCATTCTACGACATTTCAGTTGCCTGATCGACTAGCTGAGTCACTTGTCCAGTACATCTTCTTCTTATTCTTCTTCTTCCTCCTAGCTGAGATGAGTATGCGCGGCTGTGTATGGATGAACATTTGGAGCGCGGGAATGGGGAATGTGAGTATTCTTCTTCCTCTACGACATTTCAGTTGGCCACTGTTTCACCATTCTCCTCCTCCTCCTCCTCCTCCCTCCTCCTCCTTCTTCTTCTTCTTCTTCTTCTTCTTCTTCTTCTTCTTCTCCTCCTCCTGACGCTGCTGCTGCTGCCGCGGCGATGGATAGGTCATATTGCGTTCCCTTTGTTGTTGGGAAGAGATAGGTGGTGGTGGGTTAGGCTCGTCCCCCCCAAGTACACCATCATCAACGCGCGTGAATGTGGGTGCGGTTGGGAGTGTGTGCCATATCCTGCAGTGCGTGTGCGGAAGGCAGTTTAGCAACTGCTGGGGTCACTATTCTCCCCCTCCTGCTCCTCCTCCTCCTCCTCCTCCTCCTCCTCCTATTCATACCGTTCTTGTTCTTGTCTTGCTGGTTTCTTCTCCGTCCTTGTCAATCTTCTTTCCCCTTCTCCAGAGGTCTTCTTTCCCTTTCTCCTACTTGTCTTTGGTGTAGTCCTCTACATCCTCCTACTCCCTCTCGTGTTTCTCTCCTTGCCTGCGATTGCGTCTTCTCCTCATCCTCCGGCTATCTTCCATACAGGTCCACTTAACAGAGCTCTCTCTCTCTCTCTCTCTCTCTCTCTCTCACTCTCTCTCTCTCTCTCTCACTCTCTCTCTCTCTCTCACTCTCTCTCTCTCTCTCTTTCTTAACGTTCTTCTGCCTACGCTTTCTCCCTCTCGTCGTCCCCCCTTCACGTCTTGGTGGTCCTCTGTTACTACGTATTTTACGTCGTCGTCACAAAATGATATATTATTTTGTGATGACGTTTCATTCATTGGAGGACTTTTTAACGTTGCCGAGAGCCTTTTTTGTGTTTGCGTCGCGTGTTTGGTAAATTGCCCCCTCACAGTTGGCCGACGTTCGCGCTGTGTACTCTCGTCGCAGGCTGTCCTGCTCTCTCGTTCTCTCCTATTCTCTCTATTCTCTCTATTCTCTCCTACTGTCTCCTACTCTCTCCTACTCTCTCTCCTACTCTCCTACTCTCCTACTCTCCTACTCTCCTACTCTTGCACACTCCTACTCTCACTCCCTCCTACTCTCCTACTCTTTGGGTGAAGAAGGTTAGCAGTTGTTTTTCCTCTTCTTCGTCTGTTTTTTTTTTTTTTGAACTGAGCCATTTTCTTCTCTCATTCCACCTTCCACTACCTACCTACCATTATTCCTCTTGCAGGGATCGCCTGTATGATTATTACTATGATTATTTTTGTTATTAGTATTACAAATCAAACAACTCTATTACAATGTTGGGAAGTACGTTCTCAGTTTCTTTCTTTCTTTCTTTCTTTCTTCTCCTTTTTATATCTATTCATGAGACGACATTGTTTTTTTCGCTTTTGCGCTCTGATATCTATGTGACGATATATATACATGGAAGGAAAACTCAGCCTGTTCAAGGCTGGCCACGTGGATGATGATTGAGAACCGGCTGCCCCCATCCCCTTGTGTGTCACAAGGACCCACTTGCACGCAGCCAAAAGCCAAAGAGGTAAAGCAAAAGGAGGAGGAACCAAACCTCACTTGAAGGACAGATACAGAAAGGTTTCGACACTACCGACAGATACGGAGTTGAAGAAAACGAGCATACATATTTTAATAAAAGGCCAACGGCCTGGAGGTATTATCATCATCATCATCATCATCATCATCATCAAACTGACCGGCCTCAGGTAACTCAGAATTACTGTATTTGATTCACCTAAAGTCTTTCCCCGAATACAACGTAGGGTCATTATAGCTGAATTTGGTGTATCTTTCGGTCTAAATTCAGCTATAATGACCCTATGTTGCATTCGGGGGAAGACTGTAGGTACGGCAGGATTTGAACTCTGAGTCACGTCTGTACCATTCTGTCGCATGGGGCTGGGATTATGTTTTAGTATGTGTTCGGACGGCTGATCTTCTTTCTTTCCTTTCTGTTTCTTGTTTCTCATTATTTCCTGATTAAACATCTCGAGCATTTGCATGGATGCACATGTTTCACTTCTTCTTCTTCTTCTTTTTTTTTTTTTTTTTTTTTTTTNTGTGTGTGAAGGGAAAAAGAGCGCTCTTGGAAACCACAAGGTCCCCCCTCTTTCTTCCCTCAGATTCACCTTTACTACCTACCTACCACTTGTCTCTTTTTTTTTTTTTTTTTTTTTTTGCAATTTTGTTCAACTTCTCCCATCTAGATTTGAACTCATGTCTGAATGAATGAGAGGAAGAATTTCTGCTAGTTTTTTTTTGTTTTTTTTTGTGTGTGTGTGTGTGTGTGAAAGAAAAAAGAATTCTTGGATACCACAAGGTCCCCCCCCCTACCACTCTATCATGTTTGAAATTGGTTCCCTTTATTTTATTTTAATTTAATTTATTTTATTTTTTAGAGCCCAGGTTGTTGTAGAGAAGGGATACCAGACAGAATCTCTTTCTTTTTTTTTTTTTTTTTTTTTTACCAGACAGAATCTGATGACAGTGCCCCACAGTAATCGGCAATTCGGTTGTCCAGATGAGTCCCCTCTGAAGGCCCCACCCACCCTTCGTCCTCATATTTTACCCTGGTTCCTTCTTTCTTCTCTCAATTTCACCTTTACTGCCTGCCTATTGGGAGGAGGAGGGGTGCTTTTCTTTGCGAAAAGAGACAAAGGTGGCACATAACAGGGGCGGGGGGGGGGGTAGAGACTGTTTATTAAGTAAATACTGAAAAGTTAAAAACACAGCTGACGCTGCGTATCATATTATGTCAGGGCAGCGGACCGGAATCGGCCATTCTGTTCCTTGTTCGCCTCAAGAGTCCCGACGGCTGCACCTAGACTGGGTAATGGTCCCAATACAGGTGATACCAGCATCCCTTTTTGAAAACAGGAAAGGCTGCTAGGGGAGGTGATACCAGCATCCCCCCCTAGCAGGTTTCCTAGTTGCTCCAATCTATTGGTGGGGAGCCTCACCTGCTGGAAATCGGGTCCAGGGTCCCATCTTACAGCAGACTGATATTCAGAGAGTAACCTGAGTTAGTGATGCCGCCTGCCAGCATTGATTGCTCGGGACACCCGAGGATTGACTGAGCAGGTCGTCTGAGAGGGGAGAACCTCTTCCCCTGACGTCAGGCGCCAGATAACTACTGCTATACCCAGTTTCCCCTCCCTTCCTCCCTTTCCTCTCCCACTGTATTCTTCTCCTGCCTGTTCCCTCTCTCCTCTGGTAGACGCCTGTGGGCCATCGTTTTCCGGGTTGTTTGTGGACGGATTCCCGGCCTCCTTGTTTTCTGTGGTAATAAAATGAGCAGCAGTCTTTTTTGTAAAAAAATAAATAAATCTTCTTCGTAAAAATAAAAATAAAAAAATATAGTATATTAGTTTGTAGAAACTAAAAAATAAAAAAAATCTGTCAGATTCACCTTTACTAACTCCCTACCACTATCATCTTGGGAGTTGGTTTGAATTACAGTCATTTGGCGCGTGTCAATTGCATGGAACAGGACGACACGTGGCATGCAAGTTCTTGGAGGCTCTGGCAGTGAATGAAACAGGACTCAGCTAGTGACACGTTGCATCTCATGGAAGTGACACGTGGCATCTCGTGGAAGTGACACGTGGCATCTCGTGGAAGTGTTACATGGCATCTCGTGGAAGTGACACGTGGCATCTCGAGGAAGTGTCACGTGGCGTCTCTTGGAAGTGACACGTGGCATCTCGTGGAAGTGACACTTGGCATCTCGTGGCACGTCCTTGTTGTAGCGGAGAGGAGGGGCGGGACGAGGACTCAGACAAGGGACACGTCGTTCGTCTAGCAGAGAGGAGGAAGAAGACGACGTGTCACACGTGGAGCGAGAGAGGACTCAGTGACGTGTAGTAGCGTGTCGTTAGTCAGTGACACGTGGCATGTCCGTCGTTCATCTGGCAGAGAGGAGCACGAAGACGACGAGTTTGTCAGTGACACGTGGCACGCGTTGGTAAACAGCGACACGTGGCACGAGTCTGCCAGTGACACGTGGCATGTGGTGTTTATTGTACCCCAGAGGACGACGAAGACTCTCGGTAGCGGCATGTCCTGGCACCACTATCTATCTATCGATCCCTTATTGATCATTTATTGGTCACTTGTTGATTAATTTGATTGATTAATTTAATTGTATTTATTATACTACTGGTAGTATGACCTGGCCTAAGGAATTGGCAGCGGCTTGCGGGTTTGCGCTGGTGGTGGGACCACCACGTGCTGACGTGGCCTCTCCCGCGAGCAGCTCATGGGTTCATTCTCTCGCATCATCTTCCCAGACGATGAGGATGACGTCAACAACAAGGAGGAGGAGAGCAGGGACAGATGGTCCTTGTTGTCTGGCCATGGGATGTTGCTCCCAGCAGATTGATCTTCTCAGATCCCGACCGTCCGATCTGAGCGCACTCGGCGATCGTCATCATCCAGGGCTGGCCGGTCGTTGCGGAAGCAAGTGGCAACTGCGGCGAGGAGGAGGAGGAGGAGGAGGGGGTCATCTTCTTTACCGACGGAGCATGGCTATGTTATACGTAGCTGCTCTCTTCTTCCTGCTCATTCTCTTGTCTCTTCCAGACACGACACGTGGCGCCCTTGTCGCCTCTGGAACCGCTGTGAGGATGATGCAGGTGCAGGGGTCGATTCCAACCGCCGTCAGATTGGCAGAAGAGTCATATCCGAAGAACACCCGTCTTCCTCATTCTTCATGGAATCAGTCACCGACTCTCACTTCAAGAGGGAGACTGATGTTCTTAGCAAATGGATCTGAAGGAGGAGGGAAAGGAGGAGGAGGAGGAGGAGAAGCGAAGGAGGAGTTAGCAACCTATGCGTCCCTGAAGGACCCTATGATGTGGAATCGATTGACAGCTCCACGTACAACAGGAGGGGGAGGAGGAGTGGGAGTAGTAGGAGGAGGAGAGGGAGGAGGAGGAGGAGGAGGAGGAGAACGAGGAGGAGGCGGAGGAGGAGGAGGAGGAGGAGATGGAGAAGGGATCGAGCCGCTTGATAATGCAGCGTTGGCAACCACTATGACAAGGAGGGGGGGAGGGGGAGAAGGCGGCGGAGGAGGAGGAGGGAGAAGAGGAAGAGGAGGAGGAAGAAGAGGAGGGGGAAGAGGAAGAGGAGGAAGAGGAGGAGGAGGAGGAGGAAGAGGAGGAGGAGGACAAGGAGTCTCTCACATTGACGAAGTGGTTATATCCCATCGCTCAAGTCAGGATCTGTCACCTGTTGTTTGGATAAGGGCAAGACGGTTTGCAGTAGCAGCAAGAGGAGGAGGAGGAGGAGGAGGAGGAGGAGGAGGAGGAGGAGGAGGGAAAGGAGGACGAGGAGGAGGAGGAAAAGAAGGAGGAGGAGGAGGAGGAGGAGGAAGAGAACGACGAGGAAGAGTAGTAGAAAGAAGAAGAGGTGGAAGAGGAGGAGGAGGAGG